GACAACCTACCACTACCACCTACTAACCTGTATTGCCAACCTCCTCCACCCCTCCATTTTCTTAATAAACCTTCTTAGGCAATTCAAACTCTATTTCTTTGCCATCATGAAGATTAAAGACAAGACATATCGAGAATCAGTAAACAACAAGATAACTCTTTTAGGAGAGATGAAGTGCATGAGAGGATAACCTACATGCATCTTACTGATGGTTCTATTTATTCCTTTAATGTTTAAGCATGCGGCACATAAGCTGCAAGAGGCAGTTTCCAAATGCAATTGAAGCACAATGCAATGTATTAATAGTATGCCCAATTTGGCTGATGGTATAAAACCTCACTGGAAGATGTATGTCACCACAGTGTGACTGTGCATCCATCTGATCACTGAAATAAGTGAAATAGCTTTTATTTCAACACACAAAGAGAAGGTCAGGAAAGTAAGTGCTCTAGAAAGGAAATAATTCTTTGTCCCTTTACCATCGTCTAGAGTTGGTAGGAGTTGGTCTCCTTCACAGTATTCTTTCTAATGGTAGCTTGTGATTTCAATAAACTGATTCTTAAAATCTTGAATACAAGGCAAACAGTAATTTGAATTATTAATTAGCTTGTTTATTTGAACATGTTTTACCTTCAAATTGTTATAACATTCTCCCTCTCAATTTTGAAAACTGACCCTCAGGAAGAGCTACTGGTGACCTACAGGAAGTTTTCTAGCTGTAATAAATCATATCAATAATTGTTTGTAAGTGGGACCTCTTTAAAGGTCAGCTGTCTTCAGTAGCTAAACATCATCTCTTCTGAATGCACGATTAAGTCAGCAGAATTTTTTTCATTAGTTCCTCCATATGTGCATGTCCACACTTGCTTTGTCTTTCTACACAAACACACAGCGAAATGTATTAATTTAAATATCAGAATAACTATATTAGAAGGAATAACAAAAATTGAAGGATAATTTAAAGCAAAAATTGAACCCATTTACTGCAAGGAGAAACTTGAATGGGAATTTTCAAACATCAGAGAATTAAGTACTCAAATCCCATTAAAAGTCAATATAGATTGGATACTGACCTTTCCAACACTATTCTAAAAATAGCTTTAAATAAAAATACAGAAATGCGGAGAATGATTTAGTGTTTATTTCAGTCTGATGTTATGAAGCTGGAGTGCCTAAACAATAAAACAAACTTTTTGTTTATTTCACCACCTCTAGCACCCCCTTCTCAGGATTAGGAACAAAATCATAGCAATGGAAGCAGCAAGGTTGTTTTTACACATAAGAAATGGTAAGATTTGGGACAGTCCATAGGATCACTCAGAGACTTCCTTAAGAAGTGAATAACACAAGCAGGGTACTGTAGGAAATTACTCTTCCGCCCCTCCACCCCCAAATTTTCAATTTACAGACTTGTAACGGCATATCATCTGGGCTTAGGGACATTATGCAGTGGAAGATTTTCTCCCTTTCCACCTCTTTAGGATGAAATGATCAACACTACTGTGAAACGTGTGGACTAGCCATAGCACTGTATTGTGTCTATATACCCAGTAATGAAGATGAATCATTCCTATTTTCACTGTACCTGTAAGCAATACAATTCATTTTGCATCTTTAAAAATGTTTAATATAATGAAGTATTTAAACTCAATTTAGAGAAGCTATAATACGGAAATACTAAATAGATCCAAAGGAATAACCATAGTAGCAACCTTTCAATTTCCATGGAAACCCTACTTACAACACAAGATACAAATCCTACACGAATGTTAATCTCTTAAACCTATATAAATTCACACTTCAAAAATGCAGTCTACAAACAAAAAAAGAGACTGCAGTATAAAGCACCAATATTTCAAAAAATCTAGCAAGCAGCAGAACTGTTGGTGCTCCTTATGCAGAGAACTCCTCATAGAGTCAGCCTGTAAAGCACCCCTCACAGCAGGGGTGCTATGCTAATGGCAGCATCTAGAAAACACCACACCACGGCAGTGATGAAAATAACTTGGAAACCGACATCTTCCCATGCAATGTTTTGAAAAGATTAAAAAGATACCAAAGTTATCAACAAAAAAAATCCCGTTTTCCAGCAAGACACCTGTGGCCTGGGGTGGCAGTGCAGAAAGGAGGTCTGCATAGCTGTACCCTATTGAAATCAAACAAACAAAAACAACCCACAAAAGAAAACACAGAAAAAGAAAACAAAATAAATAGCAAAATTGGGGGCAAGTTGAGAAGATCTCTGATCTCTTCAAGCTCATTCCCTACCAGAGGAGAGCTCTTGGCAAAAGCTGAGAACTTTTTCCGAGGCTTTAGAAATGTATGTTCAGCCAGAGCATTAAAGAAACAATGTAAGACATGTTATGTGGCAGCTGTATTTATTGTTTCTCTCCTCCAACCAGGCATTACAAACTATTTAATGATTACTTCCTGGGGCTAAGAAACAGCATGAATGTAACATCACATTAACCTGGCCTGACAGACTTATATACTTTAAGACCTCTCCCAGAACCCTGAAAAAAAAAAACCTAACCCAAAAAACCCAAACAAACCAAACCAGAGGTGCCTACTTCCTGGCCAGTCTCTGTACACCATGAGCCTCTGAGCTGCGGAATCTGATACGTTACTCCTCATTGCAGAGAGTTAAGTTCATGATTTGGAGAAGGTGAAAATGAAGCCAAAGGTAGGCAAGGACCAGACTGGTGATGAAAGACCACTTTGTGACTACTGACAATCAAATACAGCAGGACAGAAAAGAGCACTGACAACTGACCCACTTGGGGAGCACAGATGATGACAACTTGGATACGTAGAGAAGGAAGGCCCCTCTGCTCCACAGGCTGAAGCAAAACATGATGCAAGTATTCTAAACATTTGTACTGGAAGGAAAGCTACAACTGGGTCAAGTTCTAATATCCTGTAAGCACATCACAAATGGTTAATGCCTGTCCCAACAGTACAATTGATTCTCTCAAATTACTCTATACAGGAGAGAAGTTTAAACAGATGCACAGACAAGCAGTTCCACTGATAATCTTTTACAAACTGAAGTGATCATCCTGAAGGATTTCTGAAGGAATGCAATACATAAACTCAGATTTTTTTTTTGCTTCCTCTTAACCTTTTAACTAATGCATGGCTATTTCTATCTCAATAATGTATTTTCAATTTCTTCTTGCTTAATATTGAGTCAATTACTTTACTCTTAATTGCAAGCACAATTACAAGAATTTAAGTAATTCTTTACTACATTCATATGGTGTTTGACACATTTCACATTAAATGAAGAATGGCATATCCAGCTGAGCTTCCAAAACTAATTTAGACAGGGGCGGGAGGGGTGGGGGGAATCACTACCCTGTGTTAGAATTTGACTGGGCTCCAAATTAAATGGTCTGAAATCTCACAGTCAGTAAGTAACACACTCTTGGTTCACATTCCATGTCTGGTTGGCTTGAAATCTAAAAGCATAATTTTTCCCTTCAACCGCACTTATCAGAATAGATGTGAAAAATACCTATAATGTGGAGAAAAGCTAAGTGGAATCAGAGGAATGCACTGGGGAACAGGTGGAACTCAGATACATTCATTTCAAGGTTTTCAGACTGTAGAGGACAAGAACCAATTTTTTCACTTTTTAGTGGGCATAAAACAAAATGGCACTCCCAGTGACTGTGTCACTTTTCTTATTTTTTTCTGCAAAAATAATCCTGTTGCAATGATAGTCAAATAAAAGTAGAGGAAAGGGGATACTAAACTTAAGAGTAACAGACTTATGTGTGTATGGTTAGAAATTAAGTCAGTGTGAACACAAGTACTCAGTTCACCTACAAAACACAGAGGAAGACAAAAGTAATCTTCAAATTGTCAATAATGTTGTAATTTTTTTTTTTTTCTGTAAAGTAAATCAGATCTTGTGTATCTCCATATCCCCTTGAGAAATGCTCATCCAATCAACCAGTCAATTACTTTCAAAATAGGGTAGGGAAAAACACTAACCATTTTGAATTTTCAGCTCCAATTAATTTTTGAAAGGTAATACAAATTGTTTTCTAATTTGTTCAACTGCTCAGCACCAAAGTGCATCAAAGCGCATTTTCATTCATTTTTGTCATGACACAGTGAGGCATAGGAACATAACATCTTTATATGATGAGGCAATCCCATGTGAGCAGTATTTAGATTCCCTGTTAAAAGTTAACTCTGAAATGCACTCTGCCATCACAGAACTAGAATTTCAGAAAAAAATAATTCTACCACAGATACATAATTGTTGTGAAAATTATAACCATAAATAATTATCCATTTCAAATACCATCAGTAACACAGAACTTTTGCTGATTAAAAAACAGATTAAAGGGGGAAAAAACCAGCTGGATAATCCTTAGTAACATTAGACTATAAAATACAAAAGTTTTGACTGCACTGATAGTCTTCAAAAATTACTCAGCACTATCTTAACAATGAGACATGCTAAGTGAAATGAATTGCCATTATTCATTTTTTAAAATACCTGAAGTAAAGTGTGTTCGAGACTGATAGTACAGCAAAGGACAGTAAGCACAGAATATGTGCAGTCCCAAATTCTCAGTCTCAAATACTGTATGTACTACTGTGCTGCACAGCACAAACTGTGACCTGGATTTTAGAGGTGACAGCAATCATTTTAGGGGAAACATCATTTGGCTATCACCCAGCAGAATAAATGTGGCTGAGATATCTAACTTCATCTGCCTGAATGGACATCTGGATCTTAATCAAGACAGACACATTAACATTCTTATCCTTTAAAGATTCAAAGATTGCAAAACAGTACCATAGCTTACCAGAAAATCAGAATCAAAACCTAACAACCAATGCATGTATTTAAAATTAAAAAGGAAACTTCAAGTATGAATTCTAAAGTTCTAAGTGAAAAATTAAATTATACTTTTATATGCACACACACACTCTACTACAATAACATTTTCATAAACATACAGCAAATTTTGAAAGATTACCTGGTAAAAATACCATCCACAATACCAATTGTCGACTCCTCTGCAGGAACGTAGGAGCCAATCTGTGCCATGACTGTGATCAATGCAACTTGCTTTATATAAGAGCTCTTTCCTCCCATGTTGGGTCCAGTTATTATCATGACCCTTTCACCATCTCCCTGGAAACATAAAACAGTGGTCAAAAATATTGTCCTGCACATGGGTATTTTACAAGAAAGCCTGGTGTGTGTACGTGCTTAGAGGAATAAAGGACAAGCCCTCAGGATTAAACATTCTGTTTCTAGGTTAAAAGCTTCCTTCATCGCATTCACTTTTCAAGATTTTATGAAGTCTCAGATGGGTAAATCTTCCTAAGACCTCTCCAGGCTGGTGAGAGAGAAGCATCACAATCAACTTTCACTACTCTTGACCAAAATGGACAGTGAGGAGGAACCTTCCTTTTTTCCACCAAGGAGCCAAGAAAGCACTCCAAGAACTTTCTGTGCTATTTTCTTTGGAGAAAGGGAGAAACTCATCAGCTTTCAGCATAGCCAGTGCTGTCCTAATTCAGCTGTGATCTGGATTCCGCTCCAGTTAGAGTTCTCATGGCCAAGTGGGGAGAAGACAAAGACCTCATCTAGACCCATTCATAATTGCTTGCCTTGGTACAACACACACACATTCAAACAGAAGGGCTACAACAAGAAATCAAGTCATTGTTGAGTTTGGCAATACTTGACTGCCTCACAGATATTGTGAGCAGATTGTATCCAATCTCTGCTGATCAGTATATCTACCCACTGAAATCTTACAGAAAATGAAATCAGATGCAAGAGCTCGTCTCAGCTGTAAAACTCCCTATGGTACTGCTATGTGTCTATGGCTCCAGAATAAAACCGTCATCTTCTGGTGCAAGACAATTGCTAATACAAAATTAAAACTCATCAATGAATCTATAAAGTTTTCTTATAGCCTGCATGAAGACTAGGAAATTACGTTACGCAACGACTTTGGACAACTACACTTTTCCTTTCTACTGGGTACATACAATGAAATCCAACAACTGATGAACTAACCAAAAGTCAGCATATTCCATTGCCCTCCAGGAGGGGCATGTAAGAAAGGACAAGCTGTGCATAATGAAAATTAGCTACACTACTTAGGAAACTTGGAACTGATCAGGCACTGTGACAACAACAACAAATCTCCACAGAATAAACATAATTATCTTTACAGATTCATTTTTCGATTGGGCTTTCATTCTGTTAATAGGGAGGTAAATAAGATTCATATAGGACTGTCACTTATGTCATAATCCAGATCATACAGAAGATATAGACAATCAGTATTTATTATATGTAAAAAGCTGTTTAGCTTTTGCTAAGAAAACCGCATCCATAAGGAAGTCTCAATAAAGTCAAAACCCAGAAAATGTCATTATCAGGAATAAAGGATGGATGTAATATAATGCATATGACTATACAAGAACAAAATTCGTAACATTCTAGTCTCCAAGGTATAGTTTCAATACTGCTACTAAAACTTCATCAGGGCCACCATTTGGCTCAACACAACAGAATTTATAGACACTTAAAACCAGAATGAGTTCATCTGTTAGAATCCACAAATTTCTTGCATGTGTTTGGTATCCCTCCAGGGTCCTTCCAACCATGTTGTGAGACTGGTGGCTGGTTTGCAAAGCCAGCTTTCAGAAAGAACATATGCTCTAACATCAGACCAGAGAACCCATCTGCCCTTATAATTGCATGCAACTATAAGCTAACATCTTATTGGAATTTATGGCTGAAGTTAAAAGTACTAAAAGAATCCACGAATATTCGGGAAAGAGACGGGGAACTGAACAATAAGATGTTTATTTCAGGGCACTGCGAGAAAGCTTTTCCTAAAGTTAGATATTTGACAACATTTCAGCTGAAAACATGACAGGAGATGCATTTTCCTGCTGATTCAAACACATCAGTTTAAAACTAGATGCATTTTAACAAACTGGGTTCCCACCCACCTCTCTCAAAAAAAGAGAGAACTCTAACAGTAGAGGAAAAAATAATTCTACCACGATCACTTCATTTTGTAATATTCGGTATTTAGAAAGCCAACATAAGAATGGGGCTAACAGGGGAAAGTGCATGATGATTACTGAATGAAATGCTGAATTTTTTGTAAATGCCATCTGTCGCTTGTTTGGAGTTGACAAATAATTTTGAAAACATTCCCTTAAGTATTGCACAATATCTGTATCATTGTTCAGTATAGAACAATGTTTAAAAATATTTCCAGAGAAATACATATAAATTTGAATGGTGTTTATCACAGCCCATGCTCCACACTGACATGTGTTTCATACCTTTTATATACTTACTTGTATGAAAAAGCAGTTACATATTCAGAGTTAAGTTGCAAGTATATTTTTTATATTAAGAACAAAAATGTAGTATTTCAAAAATTATATAGACAGGTAAATATTTAGCAAAAAAAAAGGTCAAAAGGACATGTAAATTAAAAGACAGATTTTAGGTTTTCAGGAAAAAGAGGAGGAGGAAACAAACTAGAATATGCTTATCAGAAACAAGATATGCGAAGTAAAATATAGCAATGTTTCCTACCATGGTAATTGCATATTTATAGCAATTTTAGGTAATTTGGGTCATACAATTTAGGTAATATTGCATAGAAAATGTTAAGAAGTAGGCCACCTGCTTTCATTGACCTCTTTGCAACAATACTAAGCAAGTAATAGACTTACTACTTCTCAAAACCATTCTCTGTTGCAGAAAACAACAGCCAGAAGGAAACTTATGGGTAACATAGAGCCTGCAAGCGATACATGTGGCATCTTTATCATATGTTAATATGAAGGCTTCTTACAACTCATGTGCATTCCACAGAGCATGTACTTGATACTACACAGTGAAGAGTCAGAGCTTCAAGTCCGCATTGTCAGATTAAGAAAGGCTGAATGAAATTAATACCTTCAGAAAGAAAAGAAAGCACAAAGTAGAGAAATACCCCCAAAAATATCTGAGCTATCTTAGAATTAATTTGGAAAACTGAGCCTGTAACATTTACAAAGAAACATATGTTGTTGCTATTTTGTACATTAAAAAAATCCACTAATTTGAGACCAAGTTATGACAAAACGCAGGTTCCTTCTGATGACAATGTTAAAAAACCTGCAATTATTCATTTGTTTTTCAAAAATAACCACCTAATACTTTTATTTTCCTAGTTTTGAGATCACTTTTCTGAACGAGATTGTAGAGAGAGTGTCTGGCTGCTAGATATCAGAAAAAGGACAAAACAGATATGATCACATCTAGCAATATCTCTCTGAAATGCAACTGAGTAGACAGTTGTATGTATTAAATTATTTATTTTAACTTCCTCACCAAAATGCATATCCCAGATTCCCTCCCTTGAATGATTTTGATGCTCAAACAGTATCTCAGTACTTACTGAAAGGTTAGTGGTATTTGGAACATACTGATCCTGTTCTCCCAGTAGTACATCAATCACAGGGTGCCTCCCATTTTTTATAATTATTTTTCGCTGATTATCTTGCACAGTTGGTCTGCAAAAAGGAAGAGACACTAACTTCAGTGTTTATTGTAACTCATTGTTTAAAACTAAAGTCTGCAGGACGGTGAAAAAAATACAAATGACAAAAATAAATTTTTGCTGTCAAACATTTCTAAAATATTTCCTTGGTTTCATTCAGTTACAAAAAATAGTAGCAGATTGGATAAAGAAATCTTAGAGTATTTTCTTCATTTTTTCATTACCTGGGGCATGTTTTCAGTTGTTTATGTGTATTCTGAAGAACTACTAAGAACTACAAAATGAACAAGCAATAACAAAATCCTGAAAACTGAAGGACAGTCTGCTTTCTTCCCACCACTGTACCAACTTCTGCAAAGTGCCCTCTTTTGCAGATACACTTCATATTCTCAGAATGATCTTGCTGATGAACTGGTCCAGCCTTTTACTGCATTAAGTCCTAACCAGAGCATGGGGAGTAAAGAAAATTGTCCAACTATGTATATTATGACTGATAAAAAATTAAATAATACAAATCAAAGACCACAGTATGCCAGAGCTGTAACTCTCCTATAAACATTAGCAGCTCTCATAATCTGACAGCAACTCCCAAACATGTGAGTCATCAAACAATAACTGTCTATAGAAAGAGCTTTACTATCTAATTTGAAACACTGAAATGACAGTACCTTTTTAGAAATTAATATGCAAACCAGATCCATACTACTTATTCTGTCTCATCTCCGAACTGTGTAAAAAGTTTTGTCTCAAATGCTTCCATCTTAGCTACAAATTTGTCTACATGTCTATTAATATAACCTATATAATTCTATGGTATGTATCTCCATGTCTGAAAAGCTCCACCTTCCAGAGCTGTGTGATCTTCACAAAGCAAAAAATGCAAAAGAAGCATGATCCACTCAATTATGACTATGGTTTCTTTTTGTTTTCTGCAACCTAAGTTTACTTCTTCATCGTAAACTGAAGTGCAGTATTCAATAGAGAGGTAAATGGTTTCATGTCTCAGCAACATTTTCTTACACAAGAAGTACAATCACTCTGAAATAAGAGCAGTAATTTAGGAAAGTGGCAGCAGCTGAGAAAAAGAGAATACTGGAATAAAGCCACAGAATTTTTTTGACTGGAAATTAACTAACACTTTGGATGGACTTTAGACGGAAGACGAGATGCGAGGAGTGTGATTTTTCTTGAGTCGAAGAATGATGATGCAATTTGAAAGGAAAATGGAGATAAAATAAATGGCATATTAGGAACACAAAGCACTGGGGTGCAAGCTGATAATGGTATGAGGTTTTTTGCATGAAGATATTTCCAGCAGTTGTATAGCTGAGATGAAACCAATACAGACAGAATCTTAGGCCTTGGGGACAAAGAAAGGAAATCTCACCCTCCCCTTACTGAATGGGTAAGTTGTTTGGAGCTGTAATGTGATGGTCTTAAAAAGGAGGAGCACATCCTTAGAAGCAACTCCTCCTGTACCTCTCCACTTTGCATTCAAGAGAGAGAGGACAGCTAAATGTTCCATTTGCCATTTTGTAATTCTGCCCTCATCTTTGGAAATAATTGTCTTTTCCTAATTGTCGACCTTCCACACATGTAACTGTGAGACAGGTATCAGGATGCCATGAGCCTTTCTGACTGCCTGTTCTGGTTTCAGACAGTGAGGCCTGCAGAAGTAGGGTCTCAGCCACAGTCATTCAGAAGGTCTTCCCTGCCCTGTGTTCCCACAATCAGACAATCATGTGTCATGTAGTAAGAGAGAATTAAAAAAAGGAGAAAAAAAAAAAAGGTAAATTGCTCTGGAATGTGTAACATTTAGTCACATCGTACCTTTCCAATGGCGTTCCTTTAACAAATTCACAGTCTGCAGAGTGGATACTCAAATATCAGATGATGATCTCTGGGCTTCCTACACCAGCTAAGTATCTTTCTTTGCTGCCGGAGAGCCTGATGCCGTACATTGCCTGTGTAAAGGATGAGTCTCCCAACACGGGGTTCCCGAGATGCCTGGGAACTGTAAGAGGTGCGTACCTCTCTCCAACAACTGTGTGGAGCACCTGTGCTCCTGACTTCACGACTCATTTACATGCCTCAGGTGGGGTGATATGAAACAATCCTCACAATCAAAAAACATTCCTCCAAAATACTTCAATTAGTTAAAATGAAAGTCCCATCTTTCCTTCAGTAGCCCTCCAAAATTAATTATTGACACCTTCCCTGCAGCTGAAGTTTCACTGAGAAGTCTTCTCCCTGTGAGTTTATAAGCTCTAAGCCACTCTTTAAAATTCAGTGAATTATTTAAACTCCACACAGTGAATTAATCAGATTTCAGTTTTTCTCATCTGAGTATACAGAAATAAGCGAGCAATTACTTTAAAAGAGATTTTGATAGCAGCACACAAGATCCCAAGAGTCCAAAAGTGATCAATATTATCTTTAATGCTGTATAAATGCAGAAGCATATGTAAGTTGATTTCCCTTTATCCACATACATTTAATACATGATTTGCTGCATTTCCACAGGTCTCAAATGTTATTAATTCATATGGTTATTCCTAAGCAGTTGCCCGATCACTTGCAGTGCAGCCCCACAAAGACAACATTTAAAAAGTTACACACAGCACTTTTCAAAAGAGAGTATGTGGACTCTCTGGCAGAGGTAGCAGCTGAGGACTGGAAACCAACAGCCCTTGCAGGGGTGTCCACAGTAAACTGCAGAAACAGTAAGTGCTGGCCTCTAGGACAGCACTCAGCAAGCTGAAGCAGTGGCTCAGTGAGCATCCAGTGTCTCTGGGGACACAGACCTCACAATATGGAAGAAGGCACCCCAGTGACACTGACTGTTTCTGTGTGGGTGCAAGAGATGTGGGCTCATGAGGAGGAGGAAGACCTGAGTTGCGGGGTGTAGACCTCAGGAGCCAGCTCTGGGCCAACCGCTGGGGAAGAAGAACTTGAGGGTTCATGCCTCCTCACCACAGTATTGGGTCTGGCTGAGATCAAATTAATTTTCCCCACAGCAGCCCTCACAGTGCTGTGCTGTGTACCAGTAGCCAGCAAGGTGTTGGTAACACATCAGTTTTTTGGCTACTGCGGAGCAGTGCTGGCACATATCAAGGCTGTGTCTACAACATTTCTCCCCCGCTCAGCAGTAGACTGGGGGTGAGCAAGATCTTGGGAGGGGACACAGCCAGGGCAGCTGATCCAAACTGACCAAAGGGATACTCTGTACCATATGACATCTGCTCAGCAATAAAAGCTGCGAGACACAGGGAGGAACTGGGGGCATTTGGGTTTGGTTTTTTTGTTTGTTTTTGTTTGGTTTTTTTTACAACGTTTGTCTTCCGGAGCAACTGCTACGCATACTGAAGCCTTGCTTCCCGGGAAGGAGCCGGACATTGCCTGCTGATGGGAAGTAGAGAATAATCTTCTGCTTTTGCTTGGCTTCCATGTGCGGCCTTTTGCCTTTGCTGTATTAAAGTGACTTCATCTTGACCTGCGAGTCTGGGGTTGTTTTTTCCATCTTATTTTTCTCCCCTCCCTGTCCTGCTGAGGAGGGAAGTGATAGAGTGGCTTGGTGGACACCTGGTGTCCAGCCAGGGTTAAACCACCACAACTGCAGAGAGCAGCGGGGACAGTCTTGGCACCACCAGAGTCACAGGCTGCGGTACCTGGTCTTGGGCAGAGGGAGGTGCACAGTTCATCAGATCTAACACATGATCCTAGGTAAGTCATCATCACTGCTCTGGAAGCTGGCACTAATATTTACCTATTATTTACCCAAAATACATCTTCAAAACATACCTCATACACCTTAGAATCTTAGGTATTAGAAAGACATTATAAATTCAGACCTTGCTGAGGGAAAAAAAAAAAAAAAGAGGAGAAAAAAAATTTCCATGCAAAGTCCAACATATGTTTGTGAGATATTATCTACCAGACTCAGGTCAAACAACAGACAGACAAACATAAGTTGTCAAATTTGAACTGCAATGTTTACAGATTTGCATTAAGCCCAGAAGTGTTGCTTTGCAAAATCAGATTAAGTTGAAACTACAGTAAACAATTTTAATAATGCATTTTATCATAGTCCACATATTAAATCAAATTTATTTTAAATGCTTTCTTATAATTCCCTATAAAATCCTAAATAAAAATTAAAAATTTATTACCTGCAGTAGTCTCCTTGTTTAGCCACCTGGGCCAATGAGAACAGACAATCGATAGTTGCTAGGTGACCAATCGCTTTAGACACAGGGTGATAATGTTCACTGAAATGGCTATACCAAAACAGGGAAAAATAGCAGGAGGAAGAAAAGAGAAAAAAATAATTTCATACAGATACAAATGTACTGTCAAAACATACCCCATGCATGCTTCTCACAGGGCTCCTACAGCCTTTAAATTACTCTGAATTCAAATCTCCCAGCAGTGTATTAACTTACAATATGAAGACACAATCTTAATCAAGGTGGACTTCATGCTCCCGTTGTACCAGTGAATTATTTTTAAACACAAAAAGAAGGCAAAATTAAATTCATTAGGTAGCATATAAAGGGTCTGCAGTTGATCCCTGCTGCCAAAATGAGGTCTATAAAAATGCCACTGTTTATCACAGTGGCAACTGAATCCCAACTGCCAATTCACTTCAACCATAAGTCACTGTCAAAAAAAATAAACTAAAAGTGCCTGGACTTGTCTACAATTGCAAGAAAATATGGTATCTACAACCGAAAATTCAAGAATTCATCATCCATTTATGGTATTGCTTCCCCCAGTACAATAATGACATTACCAGGAGAACACAGATTTCAGTAGAGTTCATTCTCATAGTCCTCAAGAATTTCTTTTTTTCCTCTCCTAGTCTCAAAGATGCAACAATACAATTGGAATATGAAACCAGCAGGGGAACAAAACTTAATAAATAAATAAATGGAGGGCTGGGGAAGAAAAGCACTTTTCTATACACAGGTCTTTCCTTGTTGTATGCTGCCATCATATACCACTATAGAAAACATCAAAGTGAACATGAACAGCAGCAGATCTAAGTGAAGGAAGGTTACAATAGGTCTACTCAAACTTATATGGTTAATATAGTGACAGAAATATTTAACAGAACTACTTTTATAGCATTGCAAAGGTAACACATCTGGAGAAGGGTGAACTGGAATGTTTTTCTAGTTTCTACCAAATTTACAGAATTGCTGGGTTCCTACTAGGAGGCAAACCTTGGCATCAATTATGTCCTGTGAGACAACTTCAGAAGGAACTTGTTAAGTTTTTGCAGCAGGGAAAAAAGCACAAGTGAAAGTGAGTCAATTATCATTGTAACACATGAAGAATAATTTCGATCTGTCTGTAATTCATGGAAGTAAAACAATAATTGGTAACCAGGCTCCTGAAAATCAAAGGTGTTCGGAAGTGTGAGAAATATATCTGAAACTTGACACACACAAGTCTATGGGGCCAGATGGGATCCACCCCAGGGTACTGAGGGAGCTGGCAGAAGTGCTCACCAAGCCACTTTCCATCATTTATCTGCAGTCCTGGCTAACAGGGGAGGTCCCAGTTGACTAAAGGTTAGCCAATGTGACACCCACCTACAAGAAGGGTCAGAAGGAAGATCTGGGGAACTACCGGCCTGTCAGTCTGACCTCAGTGCTGGGGAAGGTTATGGAGCAGATCATCTTGAGTGCCATCATGTGGCACATACAGGACAACCAGGTGATCAGGCCCAGTCAGCATGGGTTCATGAAAGGCAGGTCCTGCTTGATTAACCTGATCTTCTTCTATGGCAAGGTGACCCACTTAGCAGATGAGGGAAAGGCTGTAGATGATGTCTATCTGGACTTTAGTAAAGCCTCTGACACCACTTCCCACAGCACTCTCCTGAAGAAACCGGCTGCTTATGGCTTGGACATGTGTATGCTTTGCTGGGCCCAGAGCTGTGGTGAATGGAGTTAAAT